AATAACTTCTATGCTACGGACGACGAGGCTGACTCGGGCCAAAGGATGCGTCCGGCTTATGCCAAATTAAAAACGCATTCATTTCGCAGCTGCCTCGAGCGAACTGCTCCGCTCGCTGTTTATGTGTATACAGTTATTTTAACGCCCTGTAAGCGCCCGAGACTCAGTTAGCGGCAATCCTCTCTAATCCGCACAAATGGGATTTGAGCGACGGGGAACAACTTCATGGCAATTGACATTCCTCTAGCACTCCAGCTGAAATGCTGAATGCTGAATGCTGAATGTTTACGCGTTTGGCTTCATTTTCTTATTACACTTTTTCCATCGAATGCAATTTCGCAGAGTGTCCTTGCAGCAGCTTGGCTGTCACCTGACACACACATCCGCCCCCCGGGCCAACACGGAATGCAGTCAGGCTAGCTAGCTRGCTGGCTGTCCAGTTGGCGCTGGCAGCTGCAATTCATTTCGAGGGCGCTCATAAAAATGGCATCCACTTAATTAGGCTGATCGCAGCAGATCATTAATCTAAAGCTTCACTCCACTAACTCTGCTCTCTCTCTCTCTCTCTCTCTCTCTCCGTCTATCTGTCTGGCAGTTCCAATGATGAATCACCACACGATGCCCAAGTTTGGCTTTGGACAGTACAAAAAGGCCGGCAGCGTTAGCAGTTTTTATTTGCCAAAAATTCTGACCAGTGGCCGCGGCTCGAGCGGACGCGCCGCTGCCGGCATGGACGTGGGCGTCGGCGTCGATGTCGGCTTCGGCGGCAGCGGGAAATGCAGCCACAAAGTTGCTCTCGAGCTGTCACACGGCAAGAGCAAGCAGCTAATTTCACTGCCAGCCAACAAGTTGGACAGCAATAAACGCTACTATGTGACGTTCACAGTTAAGGATTCTCCCGGGCAGTTTGCCACTAGCGAGGCGCATAAACCGAACCACCACTACGGCCAACACCACCACCAACAACAGGAACAGCAGCAGCAGCAGCAGCAACAGAAATAACAGCAATCAGGCTGCGCTGCCAGCGACCCGAATGCCATGTAGCATGCGGCGTATACGTAATGTGACAGAGCCTCAGCCGCGAGCGTTGCCATCTGCGGTCTGACGTTATATTACCCATACGCAGTGTGAGCTCCGCTGCAACACGCATCAAACATCAGAATCAGCATCCGCAGCAGCAGCAGAAGCAACAGCAGCGGCGCTGCGCCAAATGCATTAAAACAATGCGACATTTCTGCTGTCCGCTTTTTACTCTCTTTTTTTCAGTTTTTCTTTTTATATTGTTTTTTTTTTTTTCCTCCGTACAGTGAGACCGCCCGTTGTCCAACTCTTTTTGTATGTTGGCTTTTTGTTTGTGCCTTTTGTTGCTGTTGTTGTTGTTGTTGCCTTTGGGTTTGTTTGCGTCCTGCGCTCGTCCTTCCTGCGTTGTTTTTGCTGCTTTGCTGCACTTTAAGATGGCCAACTGCTGATAATGGATGATGGCGCTGCGCTGCACTGTGCTGTGCTGCTCGGCGCTCCGCTGCGACTGTCAGTTGGCGTTGTCACGCCAGCAGCGTTCGCGGCAACAGCAGCTTGAATTACTTATACAGTCAACTCCCAGACACCCCCAGTTCACTGCCAGCACCCCTAGCGCCCCTACCGCCCCTCCACTGTGTTCTGTTTTGTTTGCTATACGACTGTTGTTGCGCTTTTATTTCAGTTTTTCATTATCATCGCTTTTTTCAGACGCCGCTGCTATTGCTATTGCTGTGTACGCTGCTAATGCCACAGATAAGCGTTGTTATTAACGCTCGGCTTACCAGCACGACGCAGCAGCAGCAGCAGCAGCAGCAGCGAACATGAGGAGTCGCCACACACACACACAGAGAGAGTCCTGGCTCGCCTCGCTTCAGTTCGTCTGGGTGCTGCTCCTCGCGTTGCTTGAAAGCGACAGCAGCGCTGAATGAATAAATGTAAAATATGTACCGTGCATTTCTTTCGCATTTCAGCATTTTTTCTTTATTTTTTATTTTTTCGAATTTTATTTACTTGTCTGCTTGCGCGTCCCATTCAAGCTGTTTGGCTTCGATACCCTAACCCTCGGCCACAGTAGGGTTGAGCTTACTGCCTAGTTAAGGACAGAGCTGACAGCTTCAGTAGATTAAGCTAGAGATAGGATCGGCGCTTGAAATGAGTTCGAGTTGCGCTCGAACAACATCGGATAGTAGAGACATCGGCTACATGCGCCTGGTGCAGGTATTTTCAAGTCGTTCATCGCATACCGGCGCGTCTGCATCCATTTTGCATCGAGCATGCATTGTAAATGGATAATAATTGCATTCAGCATAAAAAGTTGGGATTTGCAAATTGTGTTAGGCAACAAACAGTCAACCAAAAAGAAAGCAAAACTAAATATATTCGCTTGACAGCAAAATATACATAAATATAAATATACAATAAAAAGCTGATCAAAAATAAAGAAGAAGCGACCTTGCCGCTTTCAAGAGTTTACAACTATATTTAAGAGCTGTTGCAAATAAAGGTTAAAAATGTCTGAAATAAAGCATTTTTGATTACACACACACACATACACACACACATACACACGCACAATAACACAGCCACAAAACGCACACAAAGAGAGAGAGAGAGAGAGAGAGTGAGACACAATAAGCGACCGCCAAAACAATTTTGCCAGTCATGTCCTTGGCATAGATTTGCGGAGCAGCTCGTCGCTTGAGCTGATTGCTCCCTTAGCAAGCACCTGGCAGAACATGACAGCTCCGCTTCAGTCAGCCGCCGACTGCGTGGCAGCCCGGCAGAGTCGGAAAACAAAAAGCGAGTCGACTGTTACAGGATGTTCGGCATATCTGCAGGCGCTGCAGGCCTCGACGGCGTTTGCGGCCCGACAAATTTAAGCTGCGACCAGCTCTTAGTGCCCACCTGGCCTACCTGGCGCACACAGCCGGAGCAGACATTGATGTGGTGCTGATTGGAATTGTGATTGTTATGGCTGGCATGTGTGGCTGTGCAGCGTGTGGTGTGAGCCGACTCCTTTAAAGGCTTTGTCAACACGAGAACTCAATTATTGCAGCTCTGCAATGGATGCGGCCTGTTGCCCAGCTGCCGATGCTCACCAGGCTAAGCCGACTGTTATGGCCTCCCTTTGTGCTGCCGCTAGCCGGTATTTAGTCGGGGCATTAATATCTCAGCAGCTATGCTCCGGCTAAGCAGGCCTTTGTGTATGCTAAATGCTTCAAGATCAGGCCAGTGAAATCCTCGTCCCGTTTGTCCATCAGCTTTGCAGCTAAGCGCGGCCTGTCAACGAGAGGCATGCGAGCAACTGATCAGCGAATCGCCCACAAAACCAACTTCAGTTCGCGCTTGCAATGAGGACATTTCGATTTACGAACTTACGCGAAAATCCCTGGATTTATCTGGCATTAGTTTTTTCTCTCTCTCTCTCCCATTCTCTCTCCTCTTGCTCGCTGGGATTTAACAAATAATTCGTGCATCTGCATTAGGAACATTTCCAAAATGTAAAACGTGAACACCAAAAGTTAAATGTGAAAATCTAGCCCCGAAAATTATGTATTTATAAATTATGTATGGTAGCATATTATTATTAATTAACTGAAATAAAAGTCTGGATAGTAATGGATTGTTTCGTTAATGGTTTATTTTAATTCCACATTTTGTATATTTCGCTGGGCTGCATTGCAAATTTTTATGCTTAATCCAGTTAAGCAAATTAATATTATATTATATATATAATGTGTTTTCATTC